AAAAAAAAAAAAAAAAAAAACTGCCCGTGTGGCCAGGCATAGTGGCTCAAGCCTGTAATCCCAGGACTTTAAGAGGCTGAGGTGAGGGGACTGCCTGAGCCCACAGGTTTGAGAATAGCCTGGGCAACTTGGCGAGATCTCATCTCTACAATAAAAACCAAAAAATTAGTTGGGTGTGGTAGCATGCACCGGTAGTTCCAGCCACTTGGAAGGCTGAGACCGAAGGATCACCTGAGTCCAGCAGGTTGACGCTGGGGTAGCCGTGAGCATGCCACTGCACTCCAGCCTGAGCAATGGAGTGAGACTTCAACAAAAACAAAAAGTTGTACATGCACTTTATATCAAGTAGGTAAAAATTTCTAAATTTTGCTGTTCATATTCTTCTACCTATTAAAACAAGGGTGTTAAGAGTAGAACACCGCTGGGCTCGGTGGCTCAGACTGTAATCCCACGCCTTTGGGAGGCCGAGGAGAGTGGACTGCCTGAGCCCACGGGTTCGAGACCAGCCTGGGCAACTTGATGAGACCTCATCTCTACAACAAATAAAAAAATGAGCCGGGCACGGTAGCGCGCGCCTGTAGTTCTGGCTACTCGGAAGGCTGAGGCGGAAGGATCGCCAGAGCCAAGCAGGTCGAGGCTGCAGTGGCTGGGAGTGGCCACTGCACTGCAGTCTGGGCGACAGAGTGAGACTCCAACTAAAAATAAATAAATAAATAAAATAAAATAGCCAGGTATGTTGGCTCACATCTATAATCCCAGCACTTTAGGAGACTGAGTCAGAAGAATTGCTTGAGCCCAGAAATTCAAGACCAGCCTGAACAACATGACATGACCTCATCTCTACATTAAAAAAAAAAAAACTTTTTTTTTTTTTTTTAGTTGGAGTCTCACTCTGTTGCTCCGGCTGGAATGCAGTGGCATGTTCCCAGCAACTGCAGTCTCAATCTACTGGGTTCAAACTATCCTTCTGCCTCAGCCTTCCAAGTATCCAAAATTACAGGCATACACTACCATGCTCAATTAATTTTTTGATTTATTGTAGAGACGAGGTCTCACCATGTTGCCCAGACTGATCTTGAACCTGTGGGCTCAGGCAATCCTCTTGCCTTGGCCCCCCCAAAGTGCTGGGATTATAGGCTTGAGCCACTGTGCCCAGCTTCTACATAAAAATTTATAAACCACCAGGTGCAGTGGCTCACACTTGTAATCCCAACACTTTGGGAGAAAAAGGCAAGAGGAATGCCTGAGCACAGGAGTTTGAGACCAGCCTGGGCAACATGGCAAGACCTCATGTCTACAACAAAAAAAATTAACCAGTCATTGTGAAGCATGCCTGTAGTCCCACCTAAGTCCAGCAGGTCAAAGCTGCAATGGCCGGCACTCCAACATGGGTGACAGAGACTCTGACTCAATAAATCAAAATTCAAAAACAAATTTAAAAACGAGCCAGGCATGGTTGTCTACACTTGTAGTCCCCTGTACGGGACAGGCTAAAGCAGGAGGATCCCTTGAGCCCAGAAGGTCAAGGCTGCAATGTGCCAAGATTGTGCTACTGCAGTCCAGACTATGCAGAGATAAACCATTTCTAAAATTAAAAAAAAAAAAGACTGTAATCCCAGTGCTTTGGGAGGCTGAATTGAGTGGATTGCCTGAGCCCGCAGGTTCGAGACCCGCCTGGGCAACTTGGCGAGACCTCATCTCTACAATAAATCAAATTAGCTGGGTGTGGTAGCGCGCGCCTGTAGTTCCAGCTACTTGGAAGGCTGAGGCAGAAGGATCGCCGGAGCCCAGCAGGTCGAGGCTGCGGTGGCCGGGAGCGGCCACTGCACTCCGGTCTGGGTGACAGAGTGAGACTCCAACTCCAACTCCAAAAAAAAAAAAAAAAAAAAGTACCAGAATAGACCTCAGCAACTTTTGCCATACCTACATCAACAGCATTGTATACAGTAGAACCTCAGAGGCATACTAATGGAAATTTCCATACTTAGTAGATAATATATGATGCCTCTAGATACTTAGTGGTTAAATTTAGTAAAACCTATATAAATATATCTTATAGCCCTAAAAGCTTAGTAAGAAGTTCAAAAGTCCCATTTTGTCTCATTATCTTCCCTTCCTCCAAGAAAGTCATGATCAGCTGGGAGCAATAGCTCATGCCTGGAATCCCAGAACTTTGGGAGGTGAGAGGATTGCTTGAGCCCAGAAATTCAAGATCAACCTGGGCAACTTGGTGAGACCTCGTCTCCACAATAAATCAAAAAATTATGGGCAACCCCTTCGGGTCCTCTCCCACTGTGGGAGCTTTTCTGTCCTCTCAATAAATCCTGCTTTCTTAAAAAAAAAAAATTAGCTGAGCATGTTAGCACACACCTGTGGTTCCAGCTACTTGGAAGGCTGAGGTGGAAAGATTGCCTGAGTCCAACAGGTCAAGGCTGTGGTGGCCATGAGTGTGCCATACTGCATTCCAGCCTGGGCGGCAGAGTGAGACTCCCAACTCAAAAAAAAAAACCCAAGAGTCATGATATTTATCTCTAGATATTGGCTGACTATAATCTGTCCTACCTACATTAATGAAGATGAAAAAGGATTAAAAGTTACCCTAGTCTACTGCAGTGTTATTTTTAAAGTTTGGGTCAGGTTTAATAAAGCCTCAAACAGCGGAGTAAGTATCTAAATGTTATAAGAATATGGAACAGGCTGGGCTCGGTGGCTCAACCTGTAATTCCAGCACTTTGGGAGGCCAAGGCGAGTGGATTGCCTGAGCCCACGGGTTCAAGACCCATCCAGGCAATTTGGTAAGACCTCATCACTACAATGAATCAAAAATTAGCCGGGCGTGGTAGCGCACGCCTGTAGTTCCAGTTACTTGGAAGGCTGAGGCGCCAGGATCACTGGAGCACAGTAGGTTCAGGCTGCGGTGGCAGAGAGCGTGCCACTGCACTCCTGTCTGGACGACAGAGTGAGACTCCAACTCAAAAAAAAGAAAATAATATGGGACAGAATGAGACAGAAAATGGTTCTGTGTATTTTGTATTATCTCACTCAGTGTAAGCTAATAGGCTTCTGCATTTAAAGTTGCAAGGTATTTTATGATCATTTTTAACAACTATCCTACATTGCTTAAAATTTGATTACAGTAAATGAAATACATCTCTACACACTCACTATAAGAAGCTATAATATATGCATAGGCACAGATGCAGGAATCATGCAGTAGTTCCAAACCAGACTTCAAGACATTAAACGGCAAAGAGATACAATAGAATTGAAGACTGAAGAAAGTACAATGGAATTGAAGGTTGGGATGAAGTACACGAATAAGGCAAGCAGAGCAGAAAATTAAAGATGTACCTAGAGACACCTGTTCTTAAAACACACAAATCATTTCCAATAAGGTGCTCCTCATGCATTCCTCCTGAGGCAGAAGTCAATCTTAGGATGTGGTCTGTACATATCTGCAGATAAGACTCAGAGTGAAGTACATTAATTTGATTAAGATCAGAGTCAACACTTCTAAAAATCTAAGGTATAAACAAGCCAAGAAGAAAGGCATACTTCACAAAAGGTGAATTCAATGTAATCAGTCCTTCATTCAGAGGCTTCATATTTGCATTTTCAATTGCTTTCCTGTGTATAAACCATCATTATCTTCTTTCCCATTCGTTTTGCAAATAGTTACGTCGCGGGTCATTTACTAGCTACAAGTATGACAAAATTATAATGAAAAAAAAAACGTATTAAGTCCCAACCTAGAATGGCAGTCTAAGTGGCTACGACATGATCTTTCTAATGCGAGTTATTCATTGCAATATTCTTTTCCCAGATATCAATCATATAAAAGTCTTCAGAGCCGAAAGTGATCTCGTCAAAAAGCAAGCAACATGGACTGGTTTACGTGCTTAGAAACTTCATTTTCAACGTAGTAACACGGGAAGGCACAGGTCGGTTTTCTAAGAGTAGCAGGATGTTAACAGAGAAATAAAATTACTTCTTCCTCTGTCCAGACACATTCTTGAACTTGCTTGCCAAAAGTGGAGAAAGTTGGTGGAGAAGGGGTGATACTATGAAATTGATTTTTTTTTTTTTTTTTGGAAGATGCCACAGCGAACGTCTGCGTGAAGGAAGCCGTTCATCCTTGAATCACAGCATCCCTACACTGGCAGGCTCAGCAGAGCTCGGCGTTTGCGATCACACAGCGTCACGCGACACCGGAGGTCCGTCCAGTGCCTACTTCTTAACGGATTTCGGCGCCATCGGCTCGCTCCTGGCACCCCGCTGCTCGGATCAGGATGACTCGAAGGGCTCCAGGAGAGCCGCCAACTGGGCGCTCGGGTGGAGACTCGGCTGGCCCCGCTCACTCGTCCCAGCTCTCCGAGCGAGCCCCCGCTACTTACTCGTCAGGAACCGAAACTCGGAGGCCAGCTCCCGGCGCAGCCCCGCCCGCGCCGCCTCACACCGCGCCCACTCGGCCAGCGCCTGCGCCCCAGCGGTGTAGACGCGTCCTCTCGCCTCTCGCGGGCGTCTTCCCGGCCCGGCCGGAGCCCCGCAGCCCCCGGGGGCGCCTGGCGATCAGCCAGCCCCGCCGCGGCCGAGCCTCCGCGCCCGGCGCTCAGAGAGGCGAGCGGCGTCGGCGGGGTCGCCGCCCAGCCAACCGTCGCTCGGCGGGGCTCTCGCCCGGCCCCAACGTACCTTAGAGCGGCGCCGCGCCGGCCGTTGCTCCACACACAACCGCTCCGAACCGCAACCGCCGCGCACAATGGAAATCCAACCGGCAACGGCTGAGGTCAGGCTCCCTCGGCCCACCCCCGACTGAGAGCGGACCAATGGCAGCGCGAGCGTGCGCCGGCCCAGCCAGTCAGAGGCGACCGGGTGGAGTGGGCGGGGCGAAGAGCCGCTGGGGGAACTAGAAGTTGGCTGAGGGGCCCCTGGGTCGCCTGAGCGAGCGCGTCTTGCTGCTTCAGCCTCCCAGGTTTTCCCGCCTAGTGGCCCTTGCGAGCGCCTGAGCCAGGCCTTGGAGGGATTTATGACAGAATTTAGCTGTTGAAAATTATGACTAATGAAGCGATAGTTACAAAAACAAGGCCCCCTAAATGGGCAAATGACCGATTAGAATTTTTTGAACATTATCTGGACCAGGGTTGTCCAACCTGTGGCAGCCCCACAACAATCTTTTAACACAACAATCTTTTATTTTTTTATTTTTATTATTTTTTTTTTGAGTTGGAGTCTCACTCTGTCGCCCAGACTGGAGTGCAGTGGCCACTTCTGGCCACTGCAGCCTCAACCTGCTGGGCTCCGGCGATCCTTCCGCCTCGGCCTTCCAAGTAGCAGAATTACAGGTGAGCACTACCACAGCCGGCTGATTTTTTGATTTATTGTAGAGATGAGGTCTCACTGCCCAGGCAGGTCTCGAACCCGCGGGCTCAGGCAATCCACTCACCTCAGCCTCCCAAAGGCGTGGGATTACAGGCTGAGCCACCGAGCCCGGCTTCACAACAATTTTTAACATCATGTGTTTTTGTGTTTTTTTTTTTTTGAGTCAGAGTCTCACTCTGTCACCCAGGCTGCAGTGCAGTGGCACACTTACTGCCACCACAGCCTCAACCTGCTGGACTTAGGTGATCTTTCCACCTCAGCCTTCCAAGTTGCTGGAACCACAGGTGTGCGCCACCATGCCCAGTTAATTTTTATTGATTTATTGTAAAGAAAGATCTCACCAAATTGCCCAGGCAGGGCTCAAACCCGTGGACTCAGGTAATCCTCTCCTTTCCGCCTCCCAAAGTGCTGGGATTATAGACATGAGCCACTGTACCAGGCACATCTTGTGGTTTTTGGCACTTATTTTCGTTGTTACTCCAAGCGTAGTTCCATTTTTGAAGGTCCAAAGCAATACTGTGCTTGAAATGAAACTTAAGTTATGGCAAGCTCAAGTTTTGGAAAATAATTTAACACATTTTGTTACATTGGCTAAATGCAGTTCAGTGAACTACCAAAAATATGTAGCTTTGCTTTTTTTTTTTCTTGTCAGTCACAGTCACCCAGGCTGGAGGACACTGGCATGCTCACGGCCACTGCAACCTCAACCTGCCAGGCTCAGACAATCCTTCCACCTCAGGCTTCCAAATAGCTGGTACTACAGGCATGCACCACAACGCCCGGCTAATTTTTTAATTTCTTGTAGAGACGAGGTCTCGCCAAGTTGCCCAGGCTGGTCTCAAACCCTGGGCTCAGGCAGTACTCTAGCCTCAGCCTTCCAAAGTACTGGAATTACAGGCATGAGTCACTGTGCCTGGCCCTGCTTTCTGTCTTAACACAGGAATTTGAAAACAGATTCAGAATTTCCAACAAAATAATCACTATTTTGATATATTTGCTATATCATTTTTTGTTGACATTAATATTTTACCTGAAATAAACTAAAAGGAAATTCTGACTGCATCTCTTTATGGGATTTTTCTTCTTCTTCTTCTTCTTTTTGAGTCAGAGTTTCACTCTGCCACACAGGCTGGAGTACCATTGCCTTCTGGCCTGGGTTACAGAGTGAGACTCCAACTGAAAAAAAAAAATCAACTATGGATCCTGGACAATTTTGAAAGCCATGGACTTGCCCAAGAGATGATGAATACTTATAAAAGATCCTAGAACACACAATGATTTTATCTCTTGCTGATCATTAGACTCAAAAATAAAATGGAAGCAAATGTTAAGCATTGTTAATAGCTGGTTAAGAGTTGGAGGAGTAGCCAGGCTCAGCCTGTAATCCCGCGCCTTTGGGAAGCTGAGGTGAGTGGATTGCCTGAGCCCGTGGGTTCGAGACCCACCTGGGCAGCGAGACCTCATCTCGACAATAAATCAAAAAATCAGCTGGGCATGGTAGCGCATGCCTGTAATTCCGGCTACTTGGAAGGCTGAGGCGGAAGGATTGCCGGAGCCCAGCAGGCGAGGCTGTGGTGGCCAGAAGCGGCCACTGCACTCCAGTCTGGGCAACTGAGTGAAACTCCAACTCAAAAAAAAAAAAAAAAAAAAAAAGAGTTGAAGGAGTGTCTCAAAAACCAAATTAACCTGCAAAGACTAAGAACACTTTTTTTCTGGCTTCATGTTATCTGTCAAAATACTAGCATAATTAGGGCCAGGTATGGTGGCTCACACCTGTAATCCCAGCACTTTGGGAGGCCAATAGGAGGATGGCTTGAGTCCAGGAGGTCCAATCCTGCCTGGGCAACATAGTGAATCCTCATCTCTACAAAAAAAAAAAAATCAAAAAATTAGCAGGATGTGGTAGTCCACACCTGTAGGCCCAGCTACTTGGGAGATGGATTGCCTGAGCCTAAGAGGTCAAGGTTGGGATGAATCATAATCACACACCTGCACTTCAGCCGGGGCAGTACGGTGAGATCTCAACTCAAAAACAAAAAATGGCCAGGCGTGGTGTCTCAAGCCTGTAATCCCAGCACCTTGGGAGGTGAAGATGAGAAGATTGCCTGAGCCCAGGATTCAAGACCAGCCTGGGCAACTTTGCAAGACCTCATCTCTACAGCAAATAAAATAATTAGCTAGGTGTGGTAGTGTGCACTTGTAGTTCCAGCTACTTGGAAAGCTGAGGCAGAAGTATCACCTGAGTCCAGCAGATCAAGGCTGCAGTGGCCATGAGAGTGTCACTGCCCTCTAGCCTTGGCCACAGTGAGACTCTGACTCAAACAAATAAACAAAATTAACATACCACAAATTAAAAGAAAAGAGACTTCAGACACCACACACAACAAAGAATTCAGTCTTTACAATTTTTTCAAGTAAAAGTCCCTAAAAAACAAACAACAACCTATACTAGCAACAATAACAAATTCTGAGAAGCGAGAAAAATGTGATTTCCAGAGCTATCATATTATAACAATCAAAATGTCCAAAAGTATGGCCTGTTCACACAAAAAAAGTAAAGCCACTATCCCTGAAGAAGCACAGTCATTGGACTTAGCAAAGACTTTAAACCAACTATCTTAAATATACTCAAAGAGCTAAAGGAAACCATGGTAACTGAGCTAAAGCAAATCCTGAGAATAATGTCTTAACAAATAGAGGATATCAAGAAAGAAATAGATACTATGGAAAGGAACCAAATGGAAATTCTGGAAATGAAAAGTATAGTAAATAAAATATTCACTTGAGGATTTTAATAGCAGTTTTGATCAGGTAGAAGGATCAGTAAAGTGACTTGAAGACAGGTCCATTAAAATTATCCTGTTTGAGAATCAAAAATAAAAAAGAATGAAGAAAAATAAACATAGCCAAAAAGAGCTATAGGATATGATCAAGCATACCAATACATGTATAATAGGAGTCCCAGAGAGAGAGAAAGTGGCAGAAAGAATGTTTGAAGAAATAAGGACTGAAAATTTACTAGATTTCTTTAAAGACATGAATCTACAAATCCAAGAATCTCAAAGAACTCTGAGAAAGATAACTGCAAGGAACTTCACACTAACACATATTATAATCAAAAACCAAAGACACATAATGACAAGAGCAACAAGACAGAAACACCTTGTAATGTGAAAGGGATTCTATAAAAGATTAGCAGTCAATTTCTTCAGCAGAAACCATGGAGGTTAGAAGGCAGTGGGATGACACATTTGAAGGGCAGAAAGAAAAAACCATCAAGCAGGAATTATAGATCTGGCAAAACTAGCCACAAAAAATGAAAGAGAGGCCAGGTGAACTGGTTTATGCCTGAAATCCCAG